TTTTTTTGGCCGAAATTATTATTATTTTGGGCTAAAATTATTTTTTGGAGTTAAAATTGCTTTTTTTGGCTGAAATTATTATTTTGGTTGAAATTGCTCTGTTTGAGTGCAAAATATTTTTGATTGAAAATTTGTTTTTGACCGAATTTTTAGTTTTTGATTGAAACTGCTTTTTTTGTTTGATTGAATAATACTGTATAAAAAATAAAAAAATATTAAATACCTTCATAGCCGTTCCATATGAGTGAATGTCACATCAGCAGATCAAWGAAATAACACGCTCACTTCTGACAGGAAATATAAGTAGAGATGTGGTGTCCCTACACAGGCGTCTGTGTTATCTGCTCTCAGTGGGGTCTCTCACAGCATGTCCATCTCTCCGCTGAGCCTTGCTCTCTTTCACCCTTCCTCCTCCTGTCTCTCGTCCTCACAGTCCCACAGCTCAGATACATGGCAGCAGCAGAGAGACAGACCTGAGCTGGCTGCATTTCAGAAACATAAACCACCCCCGACTGTACATATACATGCATTCAAACATACACAGTAGGGGTTGGTTCTCAACATTACTTAGGATCGGATTGCTGTGCCCCTTTCTGTTAAGCCTCAGTGCCAGACTGCTGACATACTGTCATGTATGCACACACTATTTTATTCTTCATGTGTCTGSTTTTATCTCATCATTCAAAACATGACATGCAGCCACTTCCCATAGATGGAGACACACATTATTATTCAAGTACCTCTATTGTTATGTTTTATGCTCAGAAGTAAAAAAAAAAAAATCTGGCTCTTCTTGTTCTTTGAAGTAGTCAAGGCTTATCCCCTCGTGCCAAACTGACACAAAGTTCACTGATGATTACATTTTCCAAGACAGTTCAATGTTCTCTCTGCTCCGTAGTGTCATCGCCTGTAGGCCCACGGACTAAAAAGTTCAACATTAGTTATATAAAGTTCAACACAGTGAGGAGGAGGATGGAACTCAAAGCCAAATTCTTGCAGATAATTAATTCAACCTGCCTCCTCGTCGTCTCATACTCCTGACTCTGAAGGCCAGCTAAGACGAAGGACAGGCAGAGACAGATGATACGGGTCATAGAGTATGCTGTCCGTGAACATTCATAGTAATGTCTGTAGATCTTCTTCTGAGTGCTACAGTCCGTGTGTACGATCTGTTTCTGTAATGAGTGTGTGCATGCACACAGAGCCTTTCTATCTTCAGCAGGGCTGCACACACATGGACCTGTCCAGGGGAGTCCCCCCTAATGGCACCACGGGGACTAAAGACATTACCATATTAAAAGGTGACATTTCACAGCTGGGGCCTTGCAGGAGTTTGCAGCCGGATCGCTCTGACAGTTTGACAGGCAAAACAGGCAGGCAGGAGAAAAGAGGCCCAGGAGGCTACGGAGTGCAAAAACATTTGGATATGAGAAAGGGACTGCTGGATTATGAGTTAGGAACACCTGTCCTACAGYAGCAGGAACCTCCAAACACGAGATTGAACTTGTAATCTGACTTGAGAGATCAATAAAATAGTGCAAACTTCAGAATAGTCATGTCACTTAACTAATCACTTCACACAAAGCACTTAAATGACAACCTAATATTTTTTTTTTCAAATTTTTGACAAATTATTTTTGGCAGACACATCCTTTTAACGTTTCATTTAAATTAAGYTGTTCCTCGCTAGCTTTTACTTCAGTTTTCTGCATAAAATAGCAGCCCAGAACACACATCTGCATGCCACACACGCGCACACTCCCACACTCCAGCCTGGGACCAGCAGTTAGGAGAAGAATGACAGAGTCTGAGTTCAGTAATTGGCTCTGAACTGCAGCTTCAGCAGAAGCCTCTGTCCTGTCGGAGACCTGTCAGTATTTGCTGTACCTTTCTGCTGTCACATGCTACAGCTGTTCCACCGGCCACTTTTGCTACAGCTAATAATACTTCTGTCACAGCAGAAGCAAAAAGAAATGGCCAGTTTTCTTTTTTTTTCTTCTCTTTTTTTTACCTTTATGGAAATATTTGACTGCATGTTGAGTGGAATAAGAGACTGGAAAAGAAAGACTTCCAGAGCAAAGCGGTGAAGTGAGAAGAAAGGGATTCTGGGAGACACTGACGCAGCAAGAAGTTGATTAATACAGGCTGTTTATCAAACAGCAATATCTGAGCACAGGGAGCTTTTCATCTGAAATCTAGATGTTACAGCATGAAATGATGCAAAACTGATGGAATTTCACATTTCTGATAACCTGTAATGTGAGCAAAGCCATTTACTTCCTGCTTTCCAGCTCATGAGACAACAATTACAGTAAGCACTTCTCTCTGCTTATGTCCTGTGGAAACAAACAAAAAAAGCCTCTCAAGTCATATCATCTTGTAAAATGCAATTCTTTTTTTTTGTCCTGCGCACTTTAAGTTTCTTCTTAACTATTCCATCAACGCAAGAGGCAATTTTGCARAATGTCTGTTTTGAGTGGACACTGACTGGGGCTTCACAGCAGGAGCCCTGAGATGTTATGAGAAAGAGCCAAAAGAAACTGCTCACTGAATCATTTAAAAAGAAACTGACTGGGTAACAAAAAATAACTGTAAAAAGCAGAGTTTTGAGGTTTTAGAGTGAAGTGGTGATATTTTTAGTTACAGACACCTATTATACTATCAAYATCCCTGCATTTCTTGGGACCTGACTCCTGATGATGAAACCATATAGCTGACTCTTTCAGTGTGAAAACTGAAAGGGAGAAAAACTGCTGCTTCAGACAAGCTGTCAGTAACTCTGCAAGGCGTCCTTTCTCATCATATTATTTATTGCCATATGACGGAGATCACTCAAATTTYGCTAAATCAGATGTTTATTTTGGCTGAAAAAATTAGACATCAGGACAAACCAACATCATTTGGAATCATTTGCACCATGTGTCAGAGGAAAATGTAAAATTCAGTTGCTACAGAACAAAAAAACGTTCTTGCTCAYTGGGTGGTCAAAACGTCCTGTGTACTTAATGATGATGATCATTAAGTTTTCGTAATGGTTTTCGTAATTCAAACATTATGTTCAGTTTAACCCAACCTGTTTTAAGCATCTAAACCTAAATATGACAGATACCTACTGAAGCAYCTAGCAACACAATTACAGTTCAACTCAAGAGTCGAATACAATCCCACAATTAAAAGACTTGACTTCACACTGCTGTAACTTTATCACATTACATGAAGTTATGATTGTTGTGAAACCGAGATCAGACTGATCAGATCACATTTTCTGTTCATTTGTGCTGAAACCCAATCCAACATTCAGCTGGACGGCTGCAAATTAGGTTCTGAGGAGATAGAAAAATAATTTGCACTTTCAGAATCTTTAAATAGAACATTTGTCCTCCCAGAAATGGAACATTTTGTGTCAGYCCCTTCTGCTTTAACATGTCAAAACACAGTGCAAGATATGAGTGTATTTTGTCCATTGCTGTCTGCGACCATTTTCTATCCTAACACACTTAAATCCGTCAGTTTTGAAGCTGCAAACCTACCTTCATAAGTACTGACTCACTGAGCTTCTCACGGTTGACAATCTTTATGGCAACTTTCTGGCACGTTACACAGTGGACTCCAAGCTTTACCAGCCCTGAAACATAGAAAAAGACACACAAGAAACAGTTCATTRGGTTAAATATTAGACTTGTTTGTGTGCGTTTTATGTGACTACAAATATATCATCATGCATGCAGTGCTGCATGTTAATTCTTAAAAAATACACACAACGGAAAATGAACTGCAAACCAAAAAGTTACTGCATGTTAGGAAAATGAAGGTTGTTTTTCTGCCAATCCTAACATTGTGTTTTGGACAGACTCGCATATAATGGGTGAACTCGAGTTCAGGAGGTCCATAATGGCTTTTGAAGTGTATGCAGTTACCTAAACAAACTGCCCTTCTGGGTTTTATTTGAGTCATAAAAGTAGCGAGTGAGTGTTCGTTTTGTGCCATCGATTGCTATAATGCACTAAACCACTGTAATGCAGTTTTAATCTGAAAYGGCACAAAACAATGACTTTTTAAGAAGCCACTGATCTGACACTAAATGGGGCTAATTACTGACCATAACATAAAACTGAAAAGATTGAAACATTACATTCGAGTGTGTGGGAGTTATTAAGACAAGCCTGCTGTAAGCATAACCTTTTACTTCACAACACTTTACGCACAGACACACGGAAAGAGATTTGAGCGTTTGATACACACTGCCAGAGGGTTCTACTGGGATTCCCTTTACAAATATTCTGTCAAAGCTCAAACAAATCCTGTGGTTCGCTACATAACCACAAAAGCATCTTCCCTGCTTTGCTTTACTTAATGTCCCTAGGTATCCTTAGTTAAATGATCAGTCACAAACAATGAAGAAGACAGGCAGGGATGCCAGAAAGAGTGCGGTTTCAGTGGAACAAAGTGCTGTGTGCATTTGATACGGGGGAGCCATGACAACAGCACCAATCAATTTTCTGCCAGGGACCACAGAGCTGCATACACATTAAAAGATTCAAGCAACAGATAGCTTACTTACAAAACTGAAACGAACACGCGGCAATATAAAACAGATGTCTGTTCAGGCTGTTAATGGTTTCCCTTCTGCTCGTGTGCTGCAACAAATATTTGAAAACAACCAAAGATTATTTTTGACTTGTAGGTTCTAGAACGGGGGCATTCTTTAAAGGATGAATTGTGTATTTTACAGGAATAAAACACCTAAAGAAAACATTTGCTACCAAGCTGTAGTTCAGCAGGAATCCCTGCAGAACATTAGCTGGATGATCCTAACTCCTCCTTTGGATTTGATGGAACCCTGACTGGATCTCTCCAGTGACTAGCTTGTGCTTATGTCTGACTTGGGACGGCAGACTCTTACAGTATGAGTGGTCTTTAAAGGTTATAGGRCAATCATTTTACTCCAGTTATCTTAGTGTCACGGARAAGTACAGTTTARGTTTCAGTTAACGGTCAGCTTTTAGAGGCACTCTGAAGCTTTACTTTTAAACACTTCATCTCTAMTTTTYGACAGTACCCAGATCAGTAGCATTTCTCATAGGCTTGTAAAGTTTTGTAGGGAATTAAGGGCTCATTATACTCCATCCGAAYGTGGTTTTTCGACGTTCKTTTTYGCACACACCTCTCATCTGAGACACACCGCGCCGATGTGGTACACGTCGCTACATGGGGTTTCTTCCTGCTGTAGTCTACACTTCAAACAAACAAACAAACTCCAATATCCACTGTTATTTGTCCACAAATCTGTCCCGCTGCTCTGGGTACAACAGTTGCCTTCTTGAAGAGAGTGCACTCTAAAAACAGATGTTGGMTTTTATYARCCGTGTTATGTCAACTGGTTCCACTTAACTAARTTGAGTAAATTCAAAGCAACATACTCATGTWTTTTTTGGTTAGAAATTGGGTACTGTATGTTGTTTTGGATTAACTCAACTCGTTTTTTTTAGAGTGTAGTTGAAGCAAAAYGCAGTGTCTGAGACAAACACCCCCACAAACGTCTGACCAATAGCACAGTAATTTCCTACACTCTAAAAATGAAATGTTGCATTTACTTAACCGTGTTATGTCAACTG